GGTGCGCGCCCCCCCTCCCTTACTTGGCTCCGATTATTTTCAGGATTTTTAGGAAAGGGACACTTTCATCTCTGAATAATAACCATAAATGTGTAATTGGAAATAAAACATCTCTTCTAGTACAGTAAAAGAGATGAAATTTCAGTAGTTTCATTACAGGAAACTGTGTTATTGTATCTGTAATATATTGTAATAATAACATCAGTAGCTTGATCTTAGGTAAATGTGAATGCTGAAGAAACTCAAAGTCACAAACTGAAAGGTGGACATATATTAGACGAAGAGGAGAGATTCTTAGAGGAAAAAAATTTTTTCATGGAACAGAAAAGACACTTTGATGAGGAGAGAGAAGTTTTTACAGAAGCTGTAATTCGTCTTGGTCGAGAAGTAAGAACTAACATGTTATTATTCCATGAAGATTATTTTTATGTTAACTTTGAATTTTTTCCATGTCATAGTAATAAATGTTTACAGGATTTGTTATATATTATAGAGTAGTTTTAAGGATGACCTAGTGGTTAGGGTGCCCGACTTGGAATTTACAGGTTGTGGGTTTGAATCCCATCACTGAATATGCATGGGTGCATTATAATGTAACATTCAGTTGCACTATTTGATAAGAGTAGCCAAAGGATTAGTGGTGGGTGGTATTGACAAGCTTCCTTCCTTCCAGTCTATCACTTTTAAATTAGGAACAGCTAGCACAAATAATTCTCGAGTAGCTCCGTGGCAAATTCAACAGACAAACTTTCAAGAATATAAGTTTTATCTAGATGTTAGAAGAAACATGAAGATTTAATTAATAATTAGAAAAAATAATCCAGGAAAATATCACTTTGTAAGGTTATTTAGAAAACTCAAACATTTATTGTGTTTGTAGCTTACATAGTATGAAAAGGAAGCAGTTTTAATTGTTACCTGTAGAAACTTCAAATGATCCAATCTGCTTGTTTTATTTTTCCAACTGATATTGTCCTTAATAGAACACCAATTGTGTTGTAAGTAAATCTCAATATCGAGAATTTTTCAATTTTAATTTCTAATTGTGAGTGAACAGAGACAGTCTCTTGTCATGATAATAACACATTAGTACATATGTATTAAAGGTCTATTGTTAATAAACCATTCACAGTAAATGTTATATTCAAAGTTTAGCTCATAGATCAAAACACTAATTTGTTAATATCTACCAAAAATGGTTTTGCAACCCAAAGTTCATTTCTGATTTTGCAAATTTGACAAAAATATACTTGTATTAAAGTCATGATTTAAATCAAAATTAATTGTAAATGAAAGATACTTACTGAAAGACATTTATAGCAAAGAGCACAAAAATATATGTGGCAAAGGAGAACAATAATTCATAATAGTAACCAGTCTTAATATAACTGGAATATTTAATGTTATTGTAACTCTTGCAATGGCCATATCAGCAGTCAAAGCCATTAAATCAGATTTCAATCTCAAACCAGTTCATAGCATTGGAGATATTTTTTATAGTATTTCCCTTCTAGGAAGGCTCTTAAAAAAAATGTTTGAAGTAGGTCAAAGATATCATCAGGACCATCTTTTAATGAGCAGTTAGTTGATGATCTACTTAAAACAGTAACACTTGGCATGTTGAAACAACCAGATTGCAAGTAAAAGAAGAATTGAATCTATTACTTCAGATACTTGTCTCCAGTCCACAGTAAATTTTGATATGTTACTATATTTCTGAGCTTTTTGGATATGCAGAGGGAAAAATAGTTGCAAATTTCTTCATGTTTTCAGAAATATGACATTTTTTTTATTTATTGGTTGTTAACTTTATGATATGATGTTCCAAATGTCACTGACACAAGCAAAAGATATCTTGAAAAGAAAATGCTACTGTCTGAAACCTGAAACATGCCATATGTTTATCATAATATATTTGGTTAGAACAGTTTGGTAGGGACTGTGAAGGTTTGTAGGAACTCAACATAACATTTTTAGCTATTCTGTAGCAAGAGAGGAAGATACTGAAGATGGATTTAAAATGCTTATAGAACACTCAAATGTGAGATTGCTGTTTATTTAGCCTTCAATGAGAAAAATATTATATCATTAGCTAGCTGATGTGAAATTTGTAAACATTTTAGTATAAAAGTTAATGCCTGTTCCATCAAACAAAGACTTCAAAATAATTCAGATAAGTATAAGTTCTCAAGAAGTAATGCTCTATTTAAATTTCATCAACTGGACAATTTTGTTACTTGGACAATGTTTCATAGATTTTACACATAACGAACATCAGGTACACATTTTGTATGAAGAAATGGTTGAAATGCAACACCTCATGAAAAGTGGATCTTTAAAAGATGTATAAAGCCCTGAACAACTAAGACTTATGTTGTAAGACCAAATCATTAGCAGATGAGGAGTAATAGTTATTGGGGAATTGAAATTCAAGTATGGATATCACAGAAGATCCTCACTACCTGGTATCATATATTTTGTTATAGCATCATGAAATATTATCAGACATGGTTTCATTTAGACACATTTTTGTTCAGATGTGATTAAACTTACCAGTCTTAATGTGATGTAACATCACACAAAACAATTGATCAGAATATCATGCACTGACAGACTAAACATTGTACACTAAAAATTCAAATAAAAAAATTTACAGGGTGATAAGATGAAAGAAAAGCAGGAGATTACTGAAAAGAAAAACAATTAAGGAGAAACATCATCTTAACAAACAGGAGGAAAAGACTGTGGTTAAGTTCAATGATGTTACTGAATTACTGAGAGATGGAATTGAAAAAGCAGAGAAAAATTACACCAGAGTCCACAGAGATTAAAATCATTGACACAGCAACTAACTAGAGCACAAAGTCTTCAGATAAATGTTCAAAAATTCAGAGATGGCCAGAAATTATAAAGATGATAGGTGAAAGTAACAAGAGGTTATCAAAGACCAGGCCTGATTGTCATGAGTTTATAGGTAGCAAAGTTAGAATTACTTCCAATTGTACATTCCCTAGAGTTTCATTTAACTATAATAACTTGTCCTCAACTTCAGACATGTTTAATAATTTATTTAATAATTACAGCCATTATGTTTACATTTTCTGCAGACGTAAAAACTTGACTCTAAAAGTTGTATTTTTCTTCTAAGATGGAAGAGACAGCAGTGTATTGTTATAGAGAATGAAACCAATAAAGCAAACTAAGTATAATGACTGTAGTTCACAAAATTTAAACAATTTGAATGTTCCTCATAAAGATTGTTTTATCCAATGTAAAAAGTGTTTCAAAGCAATGCAGCTGAATATTTTGAAAAGCCAGTTTTCAAGTAGCCCATAAATCTGTAAAGACTCAAAGGAATATTTAATGTCACTTCAGAGATAAAAATTCCTAAAGAACTACATAAATACTGTTTATTGTATTTGTTATCAAAATTGTTAGAATATTTATATAGATCAGACTTACAGAGTCTTAAAAACTTGGAAAGATGATTGTTAGAGAGCTTTAAGATTAGGTCACACTTATAATTAAACTGTAGCAAAGGCCTGGCGTGGCCAGGTGGTTAGGGTGCTTGACTCGCAATCTGAGGATCGCGGGTTTGAATCCCCATCCCACCAAACCTGCTCGCCCTTTCAGTTGTGGGGACATAATAATGTGATGGTCAATCCCACTATTCATTGGTAAAAAAGTAGCCCAAGAGTTGACAGTGTGTGGTGATGACTAGCTGCCTTCCCTCTAGTCTTTCACTGCTAAATTAGGGATGGCTAGCACAGATAGCCTTCGTGCAACTTTTAGTGAAATTCCAAACAAACAAACTGTAGCAAAATATATTTCTAATGAAATTTATTATATTACCTGGTTGGCTCTTTCTACTTTATTTATGGAAAGTCTAATCTCTTGTTAAAGATTATAATAATTTTAACTGAATAGAGGGAAGTAGCTTACATTCACCACTTTGTCATTTCTTTTCTAACAACTCAGATGTTGTTTTTAATGTTACTGGTTGATGTAATTTGTTACATGACTTAGTTTAGTGATGCTCTGATGTAACCCTGATGATGAGAGCTGGTAAGTTCTGAAAACATTGGGTTTTTCTAATAGAAAATAAAGTTCAGCTGGTGTGCTTTTCTAATATTTTATGTTTTATTCCCAACTGTCTGTTGATTTTTATAAAATCCAATATTTTACTGAACACATTCTGTGTTTTTATATTTTTGGGCATCAAAGCAGTGCCTAACACATTATGAAAAGTACAGTTTTTCTTCACATAAATGAGTTTAATTTTTGCATGTGTGTGTGATTAGAGACAAGCTTTTCAACTGGAAAAAGCTGAGTTCATGAAAACCCAGTTCCTGGCTTTGAAGACTCCTTCTAGAGCTGAGTCTCAACTGAACCCTGGTACACCTTTATTTACCTCTCCTGATGGAAGAGTTCACCCACTTCCATCTACTCCAGAACTCTACCATATGTTGTCCATCACTCCTCTCTCAGGAACAAGGTATTGTTGAGATGCATCATCTAATGAACAAACTTATTGTGTTGTTCACCCTTTTGTTTCTGGACAATAAGGTGTGGTTTAGACTTATTCATCCATCATACTGTATTTAGTAACCTAACTACTCAAAGGTTTTCATCACTATTGCTAATGAACACCAAAGAATGTTTTAAAATTTTGGTGCATCATATCTATTGATGTAGTCAGTCATGTTGTCCACCACCTGTGCTACTAAGCAAAAAATATATTCTCCTTTATCACCTTTAATGACATGTCTTTTTTTTTTATACTACCTGTGACTCTTAACCCAGTAGTGAGGTATGTATTTGCTGTTACTTTATTGTTTCTGTAATGCCTGCTTTGTATGATCCAGTACTGTATTTTTTTCTGTACTGTTACACATAACCCATTAATAAGTTACTTGCTGTTACTAAGTTATTCCTGCACTATGCTATGTGTGATCTGGTAGTAAGGTATTTACTGTGACTATTTTTCCTGTTACTGAAGTATTCCTGCACTATGCCACATGTAAGGTATTTGTTGTAATTATTTCAATCTTATATTATATAATGCATGTAATAACCCATTAATAAGGTATTCATGGTACATTCCTGTTACTGTTTTCTGCATTTACCAAAATAGTCCTTTACAGTCTTCTAGATACATACAGTATAACTAAGTATAGTCACTGGTGTTACACAGTAGTTAAGTCTTTTGTACTATTCTGGTTTACTCTTGTTACTTTCTGATATACATAAACAAACAGTAAGCAATTTGTATATACATGTGAATCATTACTCCATCTGTCTGCTAGTGATGAGCCATGTGTTAAGCATTTGCTGCAATTCTGTATCATTCCTGACATTTTCTGCACATAATCAAGCACTAAGGCATTTGTTATGGATGTGAATTATTCTTATTACCTTGTCATATTGAGGTACACTTAATTCTGACAGGTAAGCTTTAGATTCCACAGATAACAGGAGGTTTGAAAGAATAAATCAAATGCAGACCAATAAGTAAATGATACGGGGCACAGGGCTGTTCAACACAAAACAATAGTCTTGATTTTTCATACAACCAAACATACTGGCAGTGTCTGGTTTCGAACATCTGCTGTTCAACACAATACTTAACTGCTTTCAGACTGATTGCTTTCACTCTGTAATTTAATATTTGTCGGTATCAGTTACTGGAGCGTGGACATTTCTGATGAGATGGGAGACTCAAGAAATTCTAAAAGATAACTGTAAAGTTGAACATCATCTTTGTTCAGTATACCATAATCCATTCTACCCACATCAGTTTAACTTATAATTGAAGATAATCTTCCTGCTAATACTGACCAGTGCAGAATATTGCATTATCTCAGTTTTGTATGTGTCAACCAAAATCATACAACAGTCCGAATAGGTAAGTATAAGCCATAGATTGCCCCTGTGGTGTGTTACCTGTCCAAGACTGGGATTAGCTATTGTTAAAGCTAAACACATTCCATTCACAGTATCATCTAACTAAATGCTGAACTCCTGCATAAGATTTTGAGAATTTTACCTGTGTAAAAATATAATTCATTTTCTAGTTTTGAAAGAATAAGATATTGACAGTTCTAACTGTAACAGTTTTTTATTGCATAAAAGCAAACAGTAAAATAGTTGTAGTCCTGAATTATTCCAATTACTATCTGTTTTGCATTAACCACAGATTAGAGTTTTCATTATGATTATAAATTAATGTTACTGTCTGTTATATATGTAACTTATCAGTTGGTACTTGGGATAATTTGTATGTCTCTCTTGTTACATAAAGCCCAACTGTTAGATGTTCTTCACATGTTTGGCTACATAAATCCCAGCAGTTAGGTGTTCCCGACACTTTTTGCAACATAATCTCCAACAATTAGTTGTTCCTGACGTTTTTTGCTACATATAAGTTAGGTGTTCCTGACACTTTTTGCTGTTAATATCCAATAGTTACATGTTTGTTATGATTGTGGATTATTCCTAATGTTCTCACTTATTCATAAACATTTGATAAACTATTAGTTATGATCAGAATGAAAAGTTCCTACAGAAAGTATTAGCTGTAGTTCTGTCTCATTTATGGAACCTTTCAAGTATGTAGCTCAGTAATATTTTGTGTTAATTGTATATGATTGGTTATGTTTTGAAGCATGTAACCTAGTGATAATTATTCATTCTCATCCTGTTTCAGTACTGTTATTCTCTTACATTTAATTTAGTTGAAGGAATTCTCTGTGATTCTATATATCTATTGATCTTTGTGATGTATTATCTCTCACTACTTCCTGTTTAAGTAGCATTGATGCTCGTCATGCACCTTGTATTTCTGTTACTTCCGGCCTTTACAGCATGATATCCAACACTCTCTTAGTATTATGTTTCTCTGTATAGTCAACCTTATTAATCTTCAATATATCCACCACCCTTAAAAACAAATATTACTAAACTACCCTCTTACAGTTGCTTGTTTGTTTTTTAAGTATTATTCATCAACATCTGCATGTATAGCACTCAATGATTTATGTTATATTAAATTGCAAGAGATAACCTAGTATAATGTCTCAAGTGCATTTGAAACAGTTATGCTAATTCCAATACCTTTTGCATTAGGGTAAGGAGGAAAAAAAACAGAGGTAAGAAAGGTGAAGACAGTTCCAATAATGAAATATCTTGGCCACTTCTCAAAAGAGAAAATCTGCAGAATGATAATCTTTCACTGGGGAGTGACCAGAGCCACGAGGAATCGACTTCAAATTACAGAAAGTTATCTATTGACCAACATATTGATGGTTTGAAAATGGCAATGTTTCAGTGTAAGAGTAAATCAGAAGTTTTAGCTAGTGAATAGATAATCAGTAATTTATTGAAAAACTACAATAAAAAAATTAAAATTTTGAGTTTATATTGAATATATTTTGACTTCAACACACAACTGCCATTTACTAAGAAACATTAACTTTTTTTCTGTTTCTCAGGTTAATGTTAAGAATGTATCCCGCACCCCATTGCTCAAGTGTTATATTATAGCCCAATTTTCAATTAAAATTATCTCATTTTTTTCTAACAATAAAGAATAATTAACACAGTATTTGTTATTTTTCACATTATGTGAAATAGATGCATCAAAATTTTGTTATCAACTTTACAGTTACAAAAATAATTCAGCTTTCATTAACTAATTTGTAAAAAAATTATCCTTTTATTATGGAAGGTTTAAAACTATCATGTCATCTATTGTGTGTATATATATGTGCATTTCTTTAATCTTGTGATTAAAAGTACTGGTTTAATATGTGATAGTGTATTAAGTGATCGTCACTACTCCATTCAGGAGTTCTAGTGTTTCAATAAATATATATACGAGGAGTTAATACTACTAATTTATATAAATTTTGCATTTCATAGTTGTAAATTGAATTGGAAACCCATAACAGTTTGTACAGTAATATGTAGAAGCCTAGTCTAAGGAAATGTATAGTATTAAAAGATAATTGTTTATCATACAGCCAATTATTGAAAGTACAGGTTTTAGCATACTTCTTACAAACACGTTATTGGTCTGTATTTTTCACATTAAAATTGTTGCTTACCACCAGTAACCAATTTTTTAAGATTAACTTTATCCACACACATTGTTTTTGTAAACTTACCGAGTCAGTCAGTCATATGAATACATTTTGAGTACTGAAAGTAGATATACAAAATATCTTTTCTTGGCATTATAATAGGTAATAGGATTTTGTTAGTGTGGCTTTTGAGGTTTTATGGAAGAAAAAATTTTTTTTTGTTTTTAGTGGTTAAATTATACAATATCTGATGATTTACATTAAATCATTTTTATGAATTATAAATAATTGTATACGAAGTTGTTTGTTATCCAACTTTAATACGTTAATTGAAAGCAAAAAACATTTTGTTCTTTACATCATTAGAGAATTATCAGTTCAAAAGTATTTATGGTAATTAGTATGTTAAATGCCTTATCTGCAATTTGTAAAAATATATTTACTCATTTTTTCAGTGCCTTTAGTGGGAGTTATTTGTGAGAACCTGTCAAAATTTTATGCAGCAGGCTATTAGCTCAAGTTATATGTAAACAATGTCTTCCATTATCAGCGTTTGTGATAAAAGTGGCTTATTGAGTCATGAATTTTCAGTTTTCTTGTAAGTTGTATGCTTTAAATTTTAAAAAAGCATCTCGGCTTCAAATTTCCAAATTTTCACGTTGCATGTTATTCACCCATTCTGCATGTCTGTATAACCAAACTATCTTTGTTTGAATTCTCAAAAAAATTGAAACAATTATAAAAGTTATAATTTTTCAAAAATCTGAAATGCTTTATAGATATCAACAAGAGCAAATGTTGCACTTGGCAAGCCAAAACTAACCATAAAAGATGCACCTTTATTATATCAAATTATATACAAGGTGATTATTCTCAAACGGATCATTTAATATCCTTTCCTGCTGAAGTTAATTAAGAATATACCCTTAGCATTTGTGGGTAATATTTTACATATTAGTAAGTCATTATTGGAAGAAGTCATTTTTACAATTACATGACTTGTTTCGATAGTGCTGGAACTTGGCTATCAGCTGTTGAAGTTCAAGTGGTAGGTGAAATCACTGTTGTAATTTCAAGAATTATTCAACATCACCCAGTCTAAAATTTGCGATTGGTTTGTTGAATTGATGTGCAAAAAGTCAGATACTTGATTGTCCAAAAGTATTTGAAAATATTTTTATTACTTTCATGATTCATTACATATGGTTCCAAAATTTTTTGTATTAAGTGCCTTTTTTTGTATTATGATTTGAAAGAAATATATAGATTAGTATGTACAAGGATAACCTATGATGTATATTTTAGAAATTGCATATCATTGTAAAATTAAGCAGCAACTTAAATTTTACCATTTTGTTGGGCGTTATCCAGTTTTTATTTATTTCATACTGAAGTGGGTTTAATTTAAATGTTATATTTTATTTGTTTGAATCGGTTTGTGGTTACGTTTTGATATACTGTAATTAACAGTGAAATCATATGGAAATAAAAACATTTTTAATCTTATATTTTTATTGACAAAAAGCTGTTTCATAAAATTTATCCATATCTTTTTATATCAAATTAGTACAACATGTATTAGTTCTAAGTTTTTCTAACTTTAAAATATAAATTCGTCTTATATGCAAGTTAAAAAGAAAATTTTACTTTCAAATTTAAGGCTTATTACTCACTTCTATCGTATTATGGCACTGCCTGACCAGTCAAATATAACATTATAATATAGAAAATAAGTTACTTTGTCGTGAGGTAAATGTTAATATATTATTATTTGAAAAATTACATAGGCTTGGTGCTTAAATATTTCACTCATGCAAAAATTCTGTCAACGAATTGTTTGGAATAACGGCGAGCATGTTAAAGAAAGATGTCTCTAATTTTAAATTCTTAACGAATTAGATAAAACAAAAGTTTATAAAAAATATAATAGGCTTATTGTCTTATGACGAGTACAAAAGATAAAACAATCATTGTCAAGTTCTATGTATGTGAATTATATAGTAACTTATTTGTTCAGCTACAGCATCTTCGGAAGAACTTCTACGTATTTGGCAAATTGAAGATAAGGAAACTAAAGGAGATTAGAAGAGTGTATAATAATGATATTCCAACTACACTATATTCGCCATACCCATAATAGGCCTAACTAATTTCTTAGGACAAAGTGTAATTATAATTATGCTTCGCCAGCTTGTAAAAGGTGTTCATACAATAACAATTATTTTATTTATTAACATAATTTACTCAGGTTTAGAACTGAGAAAAACCTGAAGTTTCACTAGTATAGATATTAAATCAGTTCCGTCCGTAGTTATTTCACAGACTAGTTTGAATCAACTTGGCTCTCAATAATACCTAACGGCGTTAGTACAACTAACCGTGTTAATTCTGTTTTGTTGATAAACATTTATGAGTTTTATTTCATACCGTGTTAAAAAGTACGGATCAAATGTTTTGTTGTACAATCCGTGCAGTATATTTTATCCATAATAATAAATAATACTAATACGCGTTCAGACATTTAGAGACAATAAGTATACAAATACTTCTTATATATCACAACAATTAAAAGCAGTGAAGAATAAAATGGTGATTTTACTTTTGGCGCTGACGTACAATAAAATTTCGAGAACAAGAAGTTAAATTAACACATACCTATTTGAGTTCCACAAGGACTCTTGACCATATGAAGAATTCGTCCTTTGCACTTTGGAAGTTTCCCTACACACCGAAAAGTCGGATAAGCCCATAAAACTACATTATTTTCGTCTGCTGTTTGACTAGAAAATAAATCTTGTTTGCGTGAACCCCAGAGCAACGAATAGATCTGAAAAACAAAAGTCATACAAGTTTACTTAATAAAGATAAGCAGAATCTGGTACTACCTACAATAACTACAGGATACCAAGTTTCCCACGAGTTATTACATTTACTAAGATGTTAATAACGTACTTATGGTAAGGTTGTAGTTATATCAAACCTTGTCATGTTGCCATCTTCAGGAAATTCCCAAGAAGGACTATTTCGGTAGTGGAAGTGGCCAGGATTCCATCTTCCATTTTTATAATAGAAAGGCTATTTTGCTATCCACTCATCTGGAATTTAATCAATAACCGTATTTGAATGCTTTTCAAAAAAGGGTATATGCACGTTTTGCTGACTTCTATGCTAGGTTGGCAGAGTGTGTTGTCAGTTAGAAGTAGGAGGTTTATTTTATCTTTATATTGTGTGTAGTTCATATCCAGTTATTTTAGTATCATTCCAGTTTATTGTATGATCCTGCTCTCTTGTATAACGAACTACTACAGATAGGTAAAAGTATTGCAGAGACTTTTGCATCTATTATACACCTGAATTCTAACTTGTATTAATATTTTTTGTTCTCTGAAGTATTGGTTCCACATTCACAATGAATGCTGTATGTGGTGCATTTGCTCTCCATTGGGCCTTTAAGTAGTTTGGTGTTTACTAACTGACAATCTTATTTATACTAACGTTTAACCTTCGATATAAACAAATTATACTCCAACATGAAGATAACTAATACCAACAAACAAGAAGTCCCAGTCATGGGCTAATCCCTATCACCAATAATGTCTAAACGTAACATTTTGAATATAACATTATCAAGACACAGTTCATACACTATGGGACTTTACAGTAAGTACCCCAATAAAGATCAAATCACCACAAAAGTGTAAAGATGAGCATAAAGATTGCCTGGTCTTCAGAATGAGCAAGATTTGTAATACAGAGAATAGTATATCAAGAAATGACATTTTATAGCTTCGTTGGCTGCCTTTTTTCTTGCACTCTCATACCAAAACGACCTCTAGTGCTTCTAGCCATTGCCACCTTTGTGTGATGTTATGCGCATGAGTGCAATAACGTATTATTACTTTTTCTTTTTGTGCTTGGCGTGTGCGATACACTCTTGTGGTTTAATAACTGTGATCATAATGTTCTAACAGTGTGCTGTTTCTGTAATTTCCTTTCTACTTATTCTTGGCATTTATCTTTATATATAGTGTTCTGGGTATCCATTCATCAGAGGGTTATAGTAATGTTTTTCTTCTTTTTGGAACGAAGTAGTAAAAAAAAGAAGAAAAATGACGTAACCTAATGTAATGTTAAAAATCAAAGATAACTTCTTCCCTGAAAACTTTACAGCTTCGAAAAACCTACCATAGCCTTCATGTGTAATAAGGTATCATTTTAACCTGGTAGTTTACTAGCTATAACTTCTTCAAAATTTAGGTTTTTAATTTATTGATCACGTTCGTCATTTATATATTCAACATCAAAGCCACAAGTTGTAATTTATCAGCTATAATATGTGCATGCAATATCATCATCTGAAATGCTTCTGATTAAAAATTGGGTTTCATTTATGTTATATGGCGTGCTTAGTAGTGGGTAGATGACTTCATCTTGGACAACCAGTACAGTATAGAAATGATTACTTTCGCAAACAACAATATCATCAATTTAGAGAAGACCTCTGTACATAAAGCCTTAAAATGTGCACTGGTATCTGATTTGATTCTGATTGATAAATTTAATGTACTCTATATAGGTGATGCTAGTGCTAGTAGGACAAATGCAGAATTCAAAATTGATGCATGTATGGAGGAAGCATTAGGGATGGAAGACCCTTATATCCTAGTGAATCCTCGGCACTGGAATACAAATGGAGGGGGATAATTACAAGGTATTTTAACATAATTGTGAAGCTTACCTTGCTGAATGCACTGAAAGAGTGCATGAAAGAAGACAATGAGCTGTCACATACGTGGCCAAAGCCATCTCAGTGAGAGATTTGGTTGAACGGGTTGCTAGGAAATGCCCAGAAGGTACACCAATGTTTGTTTGATTTGAAGTTTGCGCAAAGCTACATGAGGGCTATCTGCGCTAGCCGTCCCTAATTTAGCAGTGTAAAACTAGAGGGAAGGCAGCTAGTTATCACCACCCACCGCCAACGAGTAGTGGGATTCACCGTCACATTATAACGGCTGAAAGGGCGAGCATGTTTGGTGGGACGGGGATTCGAACCCGCGACCCTCAGATTGCGAGTCGAGTGCCCTAACCACCTGGCCATGCCGGGCTAACTGGTATTTAAAATTAAAAATGCAACAGTAACTATATAATGATGATAACTAGATGCTTGTATAGATTAATAAACATAATAATTCATTTAGTGGAAAACTATTTTTTATTGCATTTGCCTATAGATTCAAAGACTTGGAAGAAGGAGAGGGAGAAAATTCGTTCTAGTATCAAGTTATTTGTTAACTATAATAATTCACTTATGATAAACAGTCTATCAGAAACAAATACCTTAGATGCGGTGTTAACTTCAATCAAATTTTGTCCCGTGTAAACATTCCACAAACGGATAAGTCCGTCTTTGCTACCATTTCCTCCAGTGGCAAGAAGCGATGCTCTCCATGGATACCAAGCCAAAGCCTAATAATATTCACAAACAAAAAGTTTAGAAATAGGAAAATATCTTTAAATATTGAATAAATGTAAGTGAGTGGAAACTGTACACTGTTAGCTTCTAATGAAATTGGACTCATCTTTGTCAGATGAATAACACAACATGAAATCTGGTTCAACTAATCCACATTAACCATGGTTTTATTAATTTGTAAGCTGTGGTTGACTATTTTGGCAACTGATTCAATATAAAATTGTCTAACCTAATTAACGGATCCAATAAACCACTGCTAATTAAAAAAGCATCTTAAAGTGTTTTCTTCTGTGACGTTATTCAAAAAAATATATATATATACACATACACACATATATATATATATGCTACTTTATTATTTCAGACAGAAAACGTAAAACAGTGTTTTCCATAATTAATTCAATATTCTAAATCCCATAGCTTAATATGCATATGTAATCACAAGAAAAACATTACAGTTATTATATGTTGTCAACTAGCATTCTTGAGTTACACTGGGCATTCCGTTAGGCTAATCACAATACTCAAGTGCCATGGTCTATGGCACACACACAGTATGTGCCAAATGTAGCCAAATTATAATTCTAAACCCAAACATCCTACGTAGAGCTAGACACTGTGTACATTAGCTTATACTTGATTACCACGTTCACAAATAAATATTATTTTCTTATATACTAAAAGACAAGCATATTGCAAGCTAGTGTCAGAAAAAGATAAGGGATAACGCACACATCTGTTCTTAACAGTGCAAGGAAAGCATTCTCGTGTTAAAAATAACAAAAGCAGAAAGTATTAACAGAAGCTTATGTCTCACTTCTAATGGCGCAGTGACATTATGAACGAAACAAAAGTTAAAATTAGGATCACCATTCCTACTTTCCAAATGTTACCACCGAGGGGTAAAAGTGAACACTGCAAAGCCTTTTCAGTCCTGTTAACTCTGAGATCAATAAACAGTCCTAACTTTCTACTTTAAAATACCACCCGACAGATCAAAAAAACAACGGTTGCAACAGCCTTTCAGCTGATA